CCTATGTGCATAGCATCCATAGGCTTGTGCGGTGCACAACTGATACAGCTGTCCTTAGTAGTTCTGTTCCTCCCTGAATGTAAACCATTTTCTCCTCCATTTTGTTGATGGGGAAAACTGAAGCTTAGAGAGGCTGAGTAACCTGCTCAAGCTCACAGGCTCATAGATGGAGAAGCTGGGACTGGAGCCCAATTCTGCCTGCCCTTTGGATCTGCTCCACTACACGATGCTGGAGGATGTCTAAGTGGTCTTTCTTGTGGCAGATGAGGAGGCCATATTGAAAGAATGCAGCCTCCCCCTCCTTCACACACTATGTGATCCTAGATGGTGTTTATCTTGTCTTGCCCCTGTGAACTCCAGGCTTCAGGGACCTTCAGTAACCTCTCACATTCAGAAGAGTCAGGGCCTCACCAAGTATCCCCAGACCAAAGCCACGCAATGCTTAATTTATGCATGAAGTCAGAAGAGGGCTCCCACCTGGAGTGTGGGGAGAACTGGGAATGGGCGTATACCCATTTGCTGGAGGGAGTGGTCCCATCTCAAGGGACAGGAAGGAAGGCAGTGAAGCCCTCCTTAGAAGCCTGCATTGCAGAATTTGAGCAGATCTGGGGAAAACTGATTGATTTAATTAGGGAATGATTGAATGACAGAGCATGTGTCAGGGAAGCTGTGTTTTACAGCCATGGAGGGTATGTTGGTGCTTTGCGCCCATATACTTGTGCCATTATGATGCTGATTATACAAAGAGCAAAAATTGGAAGAGAAAGAACAACATGATGACCTTAGACTACAGTCAAATCAGTTGTGTTGTTGGGGGACTGTGGGGTGCAGCCCCCACTAGGCAGGCAGAGAGGTGGATGTCACTGGGCCTTTATTGCACCCTAAACCTCTGCACCCCGAATTAGGGAGGGTTGATATAAACCTGAGAGACCTCGTCTGTGAGGACATGACGGTGACTTGGAGCTGAAAGCAAGGTGTGAAGTGTCAGCTGTCACCTCAGGTCCTTATTGCTGTGCTGGCCCAAGGAACTGGAGAGTAGACATCAGTCACCCTGAGCAGTTGCTTGTCAGCTGGACACCTCCAGCCCTCTGCTCGGTGATGGCTGCACCTGGAACTCCTCTGGAGAATGGCATTTTCAAAGCAGCATTGGGCCAGTGCTGCTCTGCTGAAGGGTCTTATCTCAGTCCTAACATGACTTTGCCACTGACTTCATAAAAACATCAGTCACACAGCCTCCATATGGAAATCCTGTGCAGTGAGTTATTCTTACGCCGGGTCATCCATAATGGAAAATCAGCCTGAGATGGCCCCATATTTCTTCCTGCTCCCTAAAGTGTAATAAATTGAAACTTTTAAAGCTCAGCATGAAGACAGCTTGTCAGCAGCAGCCTAGGGCCTGCCCCGTGGAGGCCTTGGGCTGGGAAATTTCTGGTCTTGCCTTTCCAGATCCTATTAAAATCTAGACCTGCTTGACTTGTATGCCCCTGAGGTCAGCGACCTCCCTCCACCCATCCCAGCTGAGCAGGAAGCCTATAATTCCTCCATAAGATTTTCAATACCGAGGCCATGTGTATACTGAGCGTGTGACCTTGGCCTGTTTTTTGGGCCTTTGTTTCAATTTTCTTTCTTCTCTAAAATGAGGTTAAAAGTTTCTGCTTCTCAGACTGTTCTGGAAATGAAAGGGGCTCACAACAACAGCTGTTAACATTTTGCAGTGTTTTCTTGGTGCCAGGCAGTAGTAGGCACTTTGCATGTTTTTGCTCATTTATCCTGCAGGGATCCTATAATGGAATCATCCCCATTTTACAAAGGAGAAAACTGAGGCCCAGTGAGATTAACTGACGCTTTGGGAGACTCAGATTCCTTCAGGTCTGGCTCCAGTGCCCATGCTCTGAACCACACACATGATGAGATCTGGCACCTAGTGAGTGGTGGCAATGTTGGTTTCCTTCCTGCCTCTTTTGGAATGAACTTGTCTACTTCCGGAAGGTGCCAGGGATGCTGCAAGTTCTTCAGAGAATGACATGTTAGTGCCTCAAGTTGATTCAGACTCCGAGTTCTGTTATTCCTCAGACCCCAACCTAGACTAGCCCCTCCCGACATTGCCTGAATGACTTCCACAGTAGCCCCAAACCCCTGAGTGAACTGTTCTCTCCACAGCTGAGCTCTCCCTGAATTTTAATCCATTCTGCCTGTGTGGCCTTCCAGTGAGTGACTTTCCACCGGAGCTTGGTGGTTAAGAGTTTGGGCTCTGGAACTGGACCCACCAGGCCATCCCTTGACCAGGGTGTGTGATTGTGGGGAAGTGGCTTCCCTCTGAGTGTCTCGGTCTTCTGCTTTATCAAAGGAACCTTGTGGTGGCATCTTTCTCCTAGAAAGGTGTTTTATGAAGCAAGGCAGAGAAAGCACAGTGCCCCGAAGATGGTCCCCAAGCCACCAGAGCAGGAGGGGGGCTGCGAATGCCAAACCCATCGAGGCCACAAGAATCCCATCTCAAGCCCAGCGTGAGCTGGGAAGGTCAGCAGCTGTCTCCATGGGCTGTACTCTCTCTGGCTCATCTCTGGCTGGGGATAAGTCGTCCCTCTCCCTGCTGGCTTCAAGGAGAGAAGGGACAGGAAGGAGCAGTTCTGCATCGTATACCATCTGTAAAATGGGGATAAAAATAGAGCCTGCCTTCTCTGGTGGCTCTGGAGACCAGCGGGACCATGCTGGTGAAGCCCTCGGCCAAAGCAAGAGCTAGGCAGATGGGAATTGTGGCACCATGTTCTGCTCTGCCCTGATGAGCTCCTCACAATGACTTGCTTTTGACGCCTGGCTCCAAGCTGAACTCCTTGGCCCGGAAACAGCAGGGCCCTGCGTGAGGCCTCCTCTTCCACCATTAGTTATGTGACATCATCTTCCTTGCTGGCCCATCTGCCCCTGCCCGCCCAGACCTTGAGTTCCTTGCATGCCCCACTTTGCAGATCCTGCCATTTCTCTCCACTTCTTCCGCCCTGGTGGGAGCATCCCCACTACCTCCTTCCTGGAGGACCACAGTGGCATTCTCATTGGCCATCTTCCCCACGGCCTCCAGAGGGTGAGCACACCACCTACCTTCTTAGAAACCATCAATGGGTCAGGGAGCAGTGGCTCAAGCCTGTAATCCCAGCACTTTGGGAGGCCGAGGTGGGGGAATTGTGTAAGCCTGCGGGCTTGAGAACAGCCTGGGCAACTTGGCAAGACCTCATCTCTACAGTAAAAAAAAATTAGCCAGGTATGGTAGCTAATAGTAGTCTGGCTCCTTGGAACGCTGGAGCAGAAGACTCGCCTGAGCCCAGAGGTCGACGCTGGGGTGGCCGTGAATGTGCCACTGCACTCCATTCTGGGTGATGGAGTGGGACTCCAATTCAAAAAAAATAAAAAGAAGCCATCAATGGCTTCCCGATAGGCTGAAACAAGATCTAAAAAACTTTGTAGCCTGGCTCACAGTCTTGCAAATGTGCCTGCGTCCACCTCTTCAGCATCATCTCCTCCTTCTTTCTCTGTTCTGCTGTCCAGCAACACTGGTGAGCTTTCTGTTCCCAGCACCATGTTTGTTCCTGTCCCTGCCCCAGGGCCTTTGCACTTGCTGTTGCTTCTGCCCTGGGCATTCTTCCTCCTAAATCTGCGCATGGCCATCTCCTCTGCATCTTTTAGGTTCCAGCTTAAATGTCCCTCCTTAGTAGGGCCTCTGACTTCTATTCAGATGAGGGGATGGCCTTGCCCTGTCTACCTCCATGGGTGCCCTTCCACCCATCTCCCAGCCATGCCAGAGACACTGGAGTCACCTGCTGGATGATAAGACTGTGCCTGACATCTCATTTCCTCTGCCGATTATGCTCTAACAATGCCAATTACCTCCCCTTGCTCTGCATCATTTTTCTCAGTGTGTCTCCATCTCTCCCAGGCGCTGAGCAAAATGAGCTGCCAAGCCCTCCTTTGCCGGGCCCAGCTGCAGGCATACATCATTCCCAGGGGCTTGTAAAAGGGGTTTTGTGGGTTGCAGCCCATCCCTCTCTGAGCCCTGAGTGTTTTTCCTAGGCAATTTTTAAGTGTGTTTTCTGTTTGGAGATTCTGGAGTTCAGAAATCAAAGGGAAACTGCTAATTGCAGAATGAACCTAGAGTTTGTACCTGGATATGGGTTTCTCCATGGGACATGTCTTCTGGGGACACATGTGGGTAATTGCGCCAATCTTAATGACCCCACTTTGCAAGGATTAGAAGCCTAATGTGTGCAGGTGGGTGAAAGGATGGGAAATAAAAGGGTGAGAAAGAGAGCTTTATTTAAGTTGGTGGCTCTTAGTGGAAGCTTAGTGGAATCTCTTAGTGGACAATGCTCACATGCAGAATACTTTGCATATCATCTAAAAGAGAGCCTACAGACTCCCTTTTAATCCTCAACTCTGGTTAAGAAACTTCTTGGCAGGTCCCCACTGACCTTCAAGCCACCTCCTCCAGGAAGCCTCTCTCTCTTGATTCCCATCCTGGGCTCCCGCAGACCTGGTGCTCCCTCTTCCCTGTTCTGTGCAGAGAGCTTACCATTACCTGTCCCTGCCTGTCTCCCCTGGAAAGGCAGGGGGTGGCTTGATTGTTCTCTCTGTGGTCTGTGCCTATCACTGAGAGGGTGTCAGCAAGGATTTGCTGAATGGGACTGAGGAATCTCTCCTGGTGCGGTGGCAGGGGTGGCCAGGCCTCATTTCATGGGGCAGTGCCAGTCACATCTTGTGTAGACTGAGAACCTGTCTGCCTCGTATGCAAATGCCTTTGCTTTCCCAAGGTGTGGGTTGATGAATAGTTGTGAAAACATGAGGGTCACCTGTAAATTATTCTGCTGCCCGAGAGAAGCTGGGCAGAGCTTCAGGGAAAGGACATTTAAGGAGGCAACCTTACCAGAAGGCCTCACCTCTTATCTTCTCTTCCCTCCCTTCCCCTCCCCTCCCCTCCTCTCCTCTCTTCTCTTCTTCACCCTCTCCTAGTGCAGCTGGAGCAGAGTGAAGCCAAGTGTGAGGAGGCCTTGAAGACCCAGAAGACGCTCACGGCAGACCTGGAGAACATGCACAGTGAGCTGGAGAGCATAACCCGGAGCAAGAGCCTGGTACCTGTCCCTTCCTGAAGTTTTGGGGACCCAGGCCAGCACAGGCCTCTGGGAGCTAGTATGGGCCTACTGTGTGCTCAGCACTATGAGAGGGCATGGGAACTTGTAGACCTACTGGGTGTTGCCTTGGAGGTACAGGCATCTATGGTAGGCCTACTAGATGCTTAACTCTATAAGAGTGACACTGGAACTTATTGTAGACCTACAGAATGTCACCTTGGAGGTGCAGCCATCTATGGTAAGCCTACCGGGTGCTCAGCTTTGTAAGAGTGACTCGGTTACTTATTGTAGACCTACTGGGTGTCACCTTAGAGGTGTCGACATCTATGTTAGACCTACTGGGTGTGCAGGCATCCTACTGTGAGATGAAAAAAAGGTATAAAAATGTATATGAGACTCAACTGTGTGTTCCCACCTTGTGGAAGCCTGTTGTGGACCTAATGGATGCTCAGTACTATGAGGGTGTATTCCATGAGCCTATTGCTTAGCAACCTATGTGGGAACACAACTGTTTATTGTGTGCCCACCCTGCTCACCACTCTAAGTGGTTCTCAGGCATCTGCTGTAGTCCTACTGTGTGTTCACCACCATAAGACAGAACTTGAGCCTATTGCTGGGCTATCACATGTCCATTCCTGTAAGTGGAGATGAGGCTATCTCTCATGGCCCACCTTGGCTCACTGCTACAAGAAGATTCAGCCATTCTTTACGGAACTATGGTGTACTCACCACTGAAAGGTGCATGTGGATTTATAATATAGATCTATTACTTTGGCAAAATTGAGTATGAGTTTCTAAGTCCCCTGTCTGGGTGTACAGGGTTGGCTTAAATGTATACTCAGTGTATAAAGTTCCAAGGTTTAGATGTAGTTAGAGATTTATGGATGGATGCTTGTCTCAAGGTCCCTATTGGCCCTTTTGTTTCTTATTTTGTTTACATCAAATTAAGAGAAACTTGCACACAGGCACACATGTTGCACACACAGGGATGAATGTACATATTCACATACAATCACCTGGCACACATGCAGAAGAAATGCCCTCATAGGTAAAATATCCATCAGAGTTCTCCATCCATCCAATATTTATTGAGCACCTGCTATATGCCAGCCCTGGTGGTTAATGCTGGGGATATACCTCTGAATAAAACAAAGTCCCTGTCCTTAGGGAGAGTACGGGGGTTTGCATCTGCATATGTGCTCCATGTGTAAATTCCCAGATGGGCTTACAGAAACAAAAATACACACACACACACACACACACACTGCATTCACAGTCAGCCACATGCGTGCCTAGTATACACACAACACAACACACACACACATACCACTGAGCTGATATATGTTAACCCATGATACACACTGGCACTCATGACCACGCTTACACATCAGTGGCTGCTCACCTCATACACCCACAGGCAAGCCCCTCTTTGCCCCTTGTAAGGCCCCTGTTTCCACCTCTCCCCACCCCCTCACCCCCCACCCCCGCCCAATCCTGGCCATTGGCCTGTCTCTCAACAGGTGGACGAGCAGCTGCATCGGCTGCAGTTTGAGAAAGCAGGCCTCCTGAAGCGCATCGACGAAGACCAGGATGACCTGAATGAGCTGATACAGAAACACAAGGACCTCATTGCTCAAGTATGGCTCGGGCCTTGTTGCAAGAAGCTCTGGGGCTTGGGGCAAGTGGAGTACATTGAGAGGGTGATGTGTTTGGACCACTCCCTGGTCTTAGAATCTTGGTGGGATAAATGCCATGGAGATAGATGGGAATTGCAAATTTCTTGTGGTCCTAATGGAGGTGAATGTTACCTTCAAATGGTATGGCAATCTCTGGAGGACATCTCCACCAAGAAATATTTTGATCTCTACAGAGATCTAGCTACTCTTTTACTACCTAACCCCTCATTCACTTATCCATCCTTTTATCTACCCATCTACCCACCCAGCCAGCCAGCCAGTCATCCACCCACCCAGACAGCCTCCATCCACCCACTCACCTAACCATATACCCTTCTATTCATTCACTCATCCGTCCATCCTTCCACCCAATTTTTCATTTACTCACCCATCCCCATCCACCTATACAACCACCCATCCTTCTACCTATTTAATAATTATGGACCTTTCTATTTAATAATTATGGACCTCTTGCTATGTGTTAGACACTGTAAGACATGCCGAGTATACTATTGTGAACAAAAGCAAATCCCATTCCTGCCCTCATGAACCTCACGGTTTAGTGGGCTGGACAGACTGAGTTGCCAAGAACAGAAGGAGATTTGCAAACTGATCTATGAGTTCAGAAAGCATATGAGCATGACTCTGTAACTCCTGACCTGGGTCAGGGTTAAGGGAGGGTTTCCCCAAGGAGGTGACACTTGGATGGAGAGCTGAACAAGGAGGAGGAGTTAGTTAATTATATCATACCTGGAGGTTGGAGGCATATTCCAGACAACAGCAAATGCAAGTTCAGTGAGGCTGGAAGAGGATTATACCAATGTCTTGGAGGCTGTGATGAGTTTATGTTTTAATTCATAGTTGAAGGGCATCACTGGTGAGCTTTTCAGGATCAACCAGCTTGCTACTACAGGCAGTCAGCACCATAGTGGCAGGACACTCCTCTGCCTTGTCTAGCACTGTATCCAGATCAGAGAAGAGTGTCTGACCTGGAGGAGGTGTTCGGTAAATCGCTGTTGAGTCAACGAAAGTTGTATTTGTCCAGGGAAAAGACAACTCCAACCAGAGTGGAGTGGAAATGAGGAGGAGTGGATAAACAGACCCAGGAGACAACCAGGAGGCATGATGGCAGCACAGGCAGAAGGGGTGCTGAGGGATCTGATGAGGAGTCCCCGGCAGATCACTAACCTGCATGATAGGGATAACAGATCCCGCCAGGAGCCATATGTGTCTTCCTCATGTTGCATCCCCAGAGGAAATCCAGGATAAAGTACCTGTCAGCCTCCAAAAGCTTCCAACAGGGATGTGACCTCAGGGGATTTCTGCTAACAAGGCATAACAGTAACAAAACTAATCAATTATATTATCAACATTGTAGCAGTCACCATGAAAATAGCCCATGCCTTGCATTTGTGAATCATATTATTTTTGTCCAAAATGGAGGCTGATCTGATCGGTTACGAAATCAGTATATGCATATGCCCATTATAAATAATAAAGATAGAGGGAAATAGGAAGCAAGGTGGCCCATCTACTGGTAGCTGTGGGATCCCTCTCTTCACAGGTAATCAAGCTGCCCAGTTGGTTCTACTTTCTTAAAAAAAACCTTTGCTCTCCACTTCTTCAGTTAATCTCTGAACAAACCCAACATACAGAAGATAAGAGACCATCAGCCCATTTTACAGATGCAGAGATTGAGGAGCAGAGGGGTTCTGCGGGTTGCCAATGCCAATATCCAAGTCTAGAATCTCAGTTACCTGACGCTCAGAATAGCCCTCATTCCTCAGAATCTACTCCTAGTGCTTTGACCAGCCCATTTTTGTCTGGGCTTCCAAAGATGTATAATTAAGTGCTGGACAGTTGACCAATTCCATGGGCTTTTGTAATTGGAGTGACTCAGAGAACAGAGATAAAAGATGTAAGATAATTTTTGGGAAACAGCTATTATCATAGAAGCCCTGAAAAACGCAGACATCTGTGGGTGCAGGAAGAAGCGATTTCAAAGGTGGTTTCCCAGCAAAGCTTGTGGTCTCAGGGTGATTTTTTTTTTTTTTGTCTTGCCAGTCTGCTGCTGACATTGGGCAGATCCAAGAACTACAGCTGCAGCTGGAGGAAACCAAGAAGGAGAAGCACAAACTTCAAGAACAAGTACGTGCTCAGAGCTGCCATGTGATGGGGGTAGGAAGAGGATTCCTTCTGGGCATATCTGCTTCAGGTCTTGGAAACTCATTCACTCATTCCTTTTTCATTCATTCGTTCAAATACTCAACTCCAGTTGTGTGCCAGATAAATTAAGAACAATGCAACTAGACACACACACACACACACACACACACTCACTCACTCTTGCCTGTGCCTGTTCCGCGTCTAAGCATGCCTCCATGCAATGAGGCTCATCAGCCATTCAGTGCAGAATTTTTCCCTCTGAGAAATGGCTCCAAGAAAAAGAGGATGGTCTGTGCAAGACAGGATCATGATCCTTTGTGAAATCTTTCTTTAAGTCACACTCCCTCCAGACATCCCTTGCTTTCCATCATTACCTGTTGGGTTGCTATTATTCATGAAATTCTCAAAACTCTTCTAGAACCATCACATGTGCCTGCTTAAAGTGACCATCAGAGTGTTCAGGTCTCAAGCACATGTCCACAGGCACCGAGTAACACCAAGCACAGCAAAAATAATGGCAGTGGCTGTGTGCTGGGTATTTATTATGTGCCAGGCACTAATGTCCTTTAATCCTCATGAGAAAAATGAAGAAACTGAGGCTCCAGAAAGGGAAATGATTTGCCCAGACCCATCTACCTGGGAAGAGGTGGAGCCAGGTTTTGTGCCTGGCTCCCAATCCCACCCTTGTCTGCAACTTTTGAAGCTTTTTGCTCACAAACTGGCTTTGTCCCCTCACCATAGCAGGGAAGGAGGGAAGGGAAGCCCAGTGTTGAATTCTGAAGGCACGGGAAGCATTGCCTCCTACCACCTGAGACCCAGGAGCAGGGTCTGGTATGAGAGTCTAATGAGGGTCGTCAGGTTGAGACCTCACAATTCTTGCTTGTGCAGACATTCAGCATGTAGCCTCTAAGGAGATAAGGGAGCCACATGATAGGGCCCTTAGCCTGGGTCCTCAGTGTGTACCCTGGGACTCATGGCCAACAGATGGCCAATAGACCTCTCTGTTGTGCCCCCAGCTGCAGGTGGCTCAAATGCGCATTGAGTACCTGGAGCAGTCCACCGCGGATCGAGCCATCGTCAGCAGGCAAGAGGCCATCATCTGTGACCTGGAGAACAAGACGGAGTTCCAGAAAGTGCAGATTAAAAGATTTGAGGTACTTAATGGTACATAAATACTACCTGGGCCTAAAGGGCTGAGAGTTTTGGTGTAAGCACCATCCATCCTCCCACTGTCTGTCTTTCTACCCACGTGCCTTTATCTGGGTATATGTTGCTCACTCATTACCCACCCAAGCTCTCTCCCTCCTTCCTTCCTGTCTTCCATCACATCATTCTGCAAGCTATCTATTTGTCCACCTGTCCATCTCCATCTCTCTCTCTATTCACCATTCACCAGTTCATCCATTCATCCTCCCCCCCTTTGTTCCTTCTTCTCTTATCTCTTTGTTCTCTTCCTCTGTTCTTCAAATCTTGTGCATTGATTCAGTTCTTTCCATCTTGACCTCTCTGAAGTCATCATCTCACTCATTAGTTTCATCTATTCATCCATTTATGCACTCAACACCCATTTTGAGCAGAAAATTTTTACCTAATGTGTGCTAATCCCCATTTTAGGTGTATGGAAGACAGATATATAACAGATCTGGAACACAGATCTGCTTTCCAGAAACAGAGGTGTGGGTAAGATACATCTGTATGTATGCATGCATACACACAAATATCCACAATATAGAGAGAGGGCTGTGAGCTTTGGAGCACAGAGATCCTTTCAAAGTTGGGGACTCAGGGAGGCTTCCAGGATGAGGTGGCATTAATGCTGGACCTTGAAGGGAGAGGTAAGACTTGGATGAGCTGAGGTGGGGTTCGGTGATTACCTTTACATTGTCCTTGAGCTACCAGCACAGGTGTTAACTTCTTCAGCCATGTAGGCCAATGACATGGAACAGAACATTTCTAGAAGATGTGTCCAGTGTCAAAATCCTCTCATTAGCCACTCCACGTGATGTTTGATACAATAGTGTGGGGCAGGTAGAACAGACCTCCTCTAATTAGTGAGAAGATGACCTCAGAGAAGTCAAGTGACTTGCTCAAGATCAAGCCAAGCAGAGTCAGGGATAAGATAGATTGACACCTGACCTCCTCTCCATTCTGGCTACAGGTTCCAATTTCTTTACAGCCAGCTGGCTTCACCATACGATGACAGTGCGTCTAGACAGTGGAAGCTGCACTGCTCATTCTGAATCATTTTCTGCCAATCCCCCTAGGGCCATTTTGTCTCCAATAAGGCTGCTATGGATGAAAAACAGAGAAATTCTTTGCCTTGACCCTTGGTGGTTCTCAGAATTGCTCAAGGGATCCTCAAGGCATGATTGTCTCTGCAGATCACCATGAAACTTTGATAGACTATATTTTAAATGATTAAATATGTAATGTTGGACTATATCATATGTCATTTTTTAACTTGATTCTAGCATAGCCAAGTGATAGCAGAGAGAAAAAGAAAATTAGCGTAGAAAATCTCCAAATGGAAAGATTCTATCTCCAAATTAACTTTTCCCCTTCACCAACGTTATTTTAATTTAGTAGAATCCTGAGTCTTTGCTATGGAGAATAGGGTACCTCAAGGACAGTTTGAGAACAACTCCTCCTCCATATCTGCCCTCCTGCTGCTCTTTTAAATTGTTGCTAAACTTCACTTTAAAGGTGAACTGGATCATGAAGCTTTTCTTTCAGGCTGTTATTCAGTGTCTGATCTGGAGGCTGTTTATCCCCTGTCTGTAGTGGCAGAAAGGGGGCTCTGAGTCCTTAGCAAGGGCCTGAAATATTCATGCAGGCTCTGTCTTCTGTCAACACTAGAGTATTTGCCCATCAGGATCGATTGGTTCCAGGCTTGTTGGCCAACTAATGAATTCCGCAGAACAGTCCTTGGCTTTGTTTTCTGTAGCACTTGTGATGCCCAAAGCACTTTTCTCTTTATTTTTCATTGTGTCCTTGTGGAGATTCCTCACCCCCCACCAGAAAAAGGAAGAAATGTCATAAAAAAATAGGGCTAAGGCTCATGAGCAATGGTCTGATCAAACATTCTTGTTTTATAAATCAGAAAACCAAAACCCATGTTGGGGAAGAGGTTTTTGACCCCAGCATATTTCTCTGTTCACTGCAGCACTCCACCTCTCAAACTGTGGATGGTTGGGGGCTGTTATAAATATTAATAACTTCCATCCCTTATCCAGCATGTCCTGTGGGTCGGGCACTGAGCTAAGCCTTCCGCATAACAATGCATTGGATCCTGATAGCATCCCTAGGACACAAGGACTATCATCATCCTTGTCTCTCAGAGAGGCTCAAAAATGTGCCCGAGGTCACACAGCCAGGAAGAGGTAGAGGTGGGGTTTGAATCTGGAGCATCCTGGGAGTCAGGGTTCTCATCAGTTTGCTACACCGCCTCTCAGACTAGCAGTTGTCATTTATCACGTTTCTAAAGTAAATTCTTTATTTTTGTAGCAGACATCAGGATGCTTATCCTGATTACTGTATGACAACAGAAAAGAGACTTGATGAAAGATTTCTCTTCTTGGAGTGCCCTGCTTCAAGCCCCTGGCCTCTAATTCCAAGCTGGGCATATGTTCTGTCTCCCACCTAGGTTCTGGTGATCCGGCTTCGGGACAGCCTGATCAAGATGGGTGAGGAGCTGTCACAGGCAGCGACGTCCGAGTCCCAGCAGCGGGAGAGCAGCCAGTATTACCAGCGGCGCCTGGAGGAGCTGAAGGCCGACATGGAAGAGCTGGTGCACCGGGAGGCGGAGGCCAGCCAGCGGTGCATGGAGCTGGTAAGTCCTGCCCAGCGCGGGCTCTTGGGTGACTGAGGGCTTCGGTCGATGAGAGCCTTCTTTTCTTCAGTCTAGGAAGACTTCAAATGGGAGACTTCGGGCTTGTGTCCTGGGCCTTTGGGATGTGCAAGAAACAGGGAGAACCCGAAGGGGGATGGACTGAGTGATGGCGCCGCCATTAGCTGCAAACCCTGGTGGCAGGCCCAAGGTGGACCAATGGCATTCACTGCTCCTGGACAGCTGCCAAGCCCGTTTATGTCCCAGACCCCAGACTTTCTCTTCCTGCCTCTCCCATTCCACTCCAGTGGCAGGGCAGCCTCCTGCAAAGAGGCAGAACCAGTTTCTACTAAACGTCTGTTTTTCACCAGGTCTTAACTTCCATAATATCCTATATTCCTTATAACAATCCTGAGAAGTCAGAATGATCACCTTTATTTTACAGATGGGGAAACTGAAACTTTAAAGAGGGAAGGATAATTAGTCTAAGATCACAACTAGTAAATGTAGAGTTATTTTGGTGCTATTTTACAGCAGCAACAAAGATAAAATATAAAAATGGTAATGATACAAGCCGCCACGTATGAAGCATTTACTGTGTGCTAGGTTCTAAATAAAACATTTCTTGTTTAGATCCTCATAACAGAACTGTGAGGTAGGTGTTGTTATGATGTCCATTATAAAGATGGGGAAACCAAGGCATGGGGCCATCAACTTGCCAAATTGAGGCTCAGAGCAGTGTGCTCACTTGCCCAAAGTCACACGCAAGTCAGAATTTGAAGCCAGAGATATCCAACTCTTTATTCTCTGCTTTTTAATCCATACCTTGCCCCTGGCATGGTCCCAGAAACATTTTAACATTTGTTTCTTGCCTGATGAGAAGGTTTGTCCATCTTTCCATGTATTGTTCTAAGAACAGTTTTCTGCAGGGCTCACAGAGCATCTGAAAGTGTCCACACTGCCTTTTCCCCATGGGGTCAGACATTCCCAAAGCTCTAGATTTCTGATTCTGTGACCTGGGGTGCAACTGGCACCCCCTTTGCCTATCACCACACACACTGCCTTCCAGAGACAGCCCACAGCATGCCAAGGCTTGGCCCAGAGGTCTCTAAATGATGGTCATTTTGTCCTTCCTGCTCTGCCCACTCTGGGTGTTGTAACACGTCTCACCACCTTGTCCTCCTATTGCAAATATATTTCTTGGGCTGCTGTCTCCCACAGCCAGTGTCATCCCATCAGCTTTGCCCTAGACAAGCCAGCTGCCTGGCTCTTCTATGTGGGGGTGGGGGGGGGGGAAGTAAGGCACTGCACAGAGACAGAAGTTCCCAGACAAAGTCCCGGCCCCCGACTGGCAGTTCCTCCACCTCTGTGGCCCTGGAGAAGAGAAACAACTTTTTCCTCCAACTGACAGGATAACTTCCTCATTAACCAACCCTGCTTCTCATGTAGCTGAGCTCCCCTCCTGCAAGCTCTGGCTGGGAAGAGAGAACAACCCCAGCCTTTCTCCTCTGGTGGCTTCTTTAACTGGCCAGACATTCAGGAATCCTGACCAGATCAAATAGTAATTTTCTCCTTTCTCCCTTGATCTCTTTTTCCCTGTCTTTCCTCTCTCCTCTCCTCCACTCTTTTTACTTTTCTCTCCTTGTCCTCATTCCTGGGGTTATATTCAGATTATTAAAGGCCCTAAAATACTAAAAAGATCATAGTGCAATCCCCACATATAAATCAAAATAGAAGCAACACAAAATCATAAAACACAAAGTTTTCATGTATATCCTGAAATTGGACCTTTATCTTTCTCTAATTTCTAATTACAAGATTTTAGATAAGTTTATTAAGTCTGAACTTGACTATTTGTTTTGGTGTGTTTGGGATCAGGAGGGGGAATATTTGTTCCCTAAGATTACTATAACAAATTAGCATAAACTGGGTCACTTAAAACATCAGAAGTCTCAAAATCGAGGTGTCAGCAGAGTCACACTCCCTCCAAATGTTCTAGGGGAGAATCCTTCCTGGCCTCTTGAGGCATCTGAAGGCTCCAGGCTTTCCTTGACTTGTGGCTGCATCCCTTCAATGTTCTCCTCCATCTTCATGTGGCCTTCTCCTCTGTGTATGTGTGTCTTAAACACACTTCTGCCTTTTTCTTACAAGGGTAACTGTAATTGGATTTATGGCATACCCTAAATGCAGGTTGATCTCATCTTGAGATCCTTACCTTACACTTTTCTACAAAGACCCTCTTTTCAAATAAGATCACATTCACAGGTCCCAGGTGGGCATATCTTCTGGGAGGCCACCTTTTGACCCACTGTGGAAGGGGAGGGCTTGTTCCTGCTTGGCTGGTCTTCTGAAGTCATCTTGTACATTCTGTTGTTTCTTCCATGATTCTGTGGGGCAGCAAAGCTCCAGGGGATAATGTCAGCCAAGCTAGCAGCCTCTCTCTAATAGTAGATGTCCCCAAATCTCACCAACCTGTCTGCTTTCAAGTATGTCCCTTGCTGTTGGGCTCTGAGAAATTTCCACTGGGAGAAGAGAAGTCCTGCTTTCTTGTATCACTCATTTATTCATTCGACATACATGTATTCAACATCAGCTATGGGCATGGTGCAGAGATAGGCATTGGTGAGGAGGGGCAAGAAGTCATAATGTTCCTGCTGTGCAGAAACTCACACTGTGGATAAAACTGGGATCAGTGGCAGAGTTAAGTCCTCACTGTCTTTGAAAGTAAGGCTTGTTGCTGAGCCCCCTTCTAATTGGTGTGGCATCCTGGGACTTTCCCAGGTTTCTCATCCCACCTGTCCATGTCCATGCCACCAATTTTCCTTCCCCCATTCCATTTTAGTAAGAGGAGGGACAGCTTCTATGTGTCCTATGACCTCTCCAAATGATACCAAAGCCCTGCAAGGAAGCCAGAACTCTGATTCTTCCATTCATGTGATCTGTACCTATAGTTTTACTATGGGTCAAGCCCCATGCGAGAGGCAGGGGCTCCAGCAAGGAATAGGATACAGCCTTCTCTCAAGGCTCTCACACACAGAAATATACAACATCATGGGAGAATATAACTAAGGCCATGGTTAGTGTATTACCTGCAAATGTGGAGTTTCCTCCAGAATGACAGCTCAGAGCTTTCCCAGGCAAAACAAGGGAGTGTGCACTGTGATTGGAGGGAGATTTAGAAAGCAAGTTAGCACTAAATCTCCCTCCTGTGCCCACTGTCACTGCCACAAATTCATTTCCTAGAGTAAAGCATTGCCTTCTTCATCTTTCATTTTTAAAATTCAAGTCTTCCTGGAAAGGATAGAATGAATTTCCTAACTCCACGGTCCAAGCATTCATTCATTCCTTCATTCGACAAATGTTTATTGAGTTGATCTGTGCTCAGACCCTTTGTAGATGTCATCTTTTATGCTCAACCTCTATCCCAGCGGGTGTGGAATGTAGAGAGCAGGATTAGGTTCCAAGGTTGGGAATGGCAGAGCAGGGATTGGCGTCCCTGTGTGTCCGACATGAAAGCTGTCACCGGGATGCCCTGCTGCCCTTTCAACCCAACCTTGCTGAAAAATGGCTCTGCTGTGGAGACTAAAAAAGGATCCAGCACTCTGGGCCCTGGTGAGAAGCAAGAAGGATATTGATGGATCTCCCGTCCATGTTCCTTTCTGCCTGTCCCCAGCCTGTACCATTTGTCATTGCTGGTGTTGGTTTAAAGGGCTGCGAGTTGTTGCATGTGAATGATTTATGCCCCCAGCTGACTCACCGGCACACCCAGATCAGGATCAATTACCCCGCCGGTGGAACTGCTCTTCCAGGGAAAAAGAAAAATGAAGTTTTGCCATTAATTTTAGTAAATGTACTATTCCTGGAGACTCCAGAAGCCATCATGGAGAAAAGAATATTCTGGCTGTAAATCATTCAAGTCCCTTTGTCATTGAAGTGATGAGACCGTTCATCTATGGATTTATATACTGTTGTTTGTCAATAGTTACAGGGCCCAGGAGAAAATACCTTGGATCGAGGACAGGGTGTCCAAGTGGGGCGTCTAGAGAAGCTGGAGGTGCTGATGGTGTCAGGGAAGCCTGGCCTCTGCCTGTCAGATGCACTTGTTTTGGAGACTGCACCTGTTGCGTTTTGTCTTTCTTCACCTTGACCTGACTCTACTTTCAACTTTCCCCTGAGCCAGACATCCTTTGTACAAGTTTCCCAGACCTTGAAACACTTGGATGGTACTTCTGCTCACTGTTAGTGCATTCTCCCAGTGACCTGAGCCGGCAATTGCAGCGGCCTATCTCCCTCTCACTCACACAGCTTCATGGTCAGACCTGTTGATTTGTGCCCTATTGAAGTATTTTTCTCTGTCCTCTCTTGTCTCATTCTTTCTTCCTCTGTCTTTACTTAAGCTGCATCTCCTCTGGTCTAGGATTTCATAGTGACTTCTCATTTGTCTCCCCATCTCCCCTTCGCTCTTGTTTCTCCTACAGGAGATCATTCCAGAGGAGCCCAGCTTACTGTGCTACTCCTCTGTTAAGAAATCTCCCAGCTGGGCTCGGTGGCTCAGCCTATAATCCCAGCGCTTTGGGAGGCTGAGGTGAGTGGATTGCCTGAGCCCGCGGGTTCAAGACCCGCCTGGGCAACTTGGTGAGACCTCATCTCTACAATAAAATCAAAAAAATTAGCCGGGCGTGGTAGCACACACCTGTAGTTCCAGCTACCTGGAAGGCTGAGGCAGAAGGATTGCCAGAGCCGAGCAGGTCGAGCCTGGGGTGGCTGGGAGCATGCCACTGCACTCCAGTCTGGGTGACAGAGTGAGACTTCAACTCAAAAAAAAAAAAAGAAATCTCCCATGTCTCCCCACTGCCTTCAGAACAAGGTACAAACTCCTTTCTGTGGCCTACAAGAGCTTCTGAAATCTAACTTCTCTAGATTTTTCCACCTTTGGTTGTCTGCCTCTCATCTTGCAGGTTCTACTCAAGCATGAAGGCAAGTGTTGAGGACTGCTACAGTTC